ACCGCTACTGCTGCTGCCACTGCTACCCGAAGCTTCTGACCACCTGAGTCTCGTCGTTCCTGATGGAAGGTGGGTCCAACTCGCCCGGCGTCAGAACCCAAGTGGCCCATGCCGGGAAGTGGGTTTGGAGATTTGAGCTATGGGCTGTAGCGTTTGGGGATGGTCAGTGGCTTGCCAGGCAGAGTTGGATTGCTGTCAGAGGTCTGGGTCTGAGGCGATGGAACCGTTCTTGTTTGAGGTGACCCCTCGGTGTTCAGGGTACACAACCCCTTTGGCCTGAAATAGAGACCATCAACTCATCAACTTGGGGGACCCTGCCAGGCGTGGTGGGGCCCGTCAACATCCGCTTGGGTTCTGGCGAGAACATATTCGTACAGCCCAGTCGTAGGGGAGACCAGCAACATAGTTCAAGGAATGGCTTGTAGGCTTGTTTGAGAAGGCCTGTGCCTACCGCAGTGCCTGTGGAAGCGGTTCAGCCCGCAAAAACCGAAGATATGAAGAGCTTCACCTCCATTGGCTGAGGACGAGAACTTCGAGGGAGACATCCGCGACTTGCGGATTTGGCCGGGAACTTGAGGATGCCGGAGCAATAGAGTTCCCTCCTATTCTCCAAAGATGCCACCCAGTACTTGTTGTTTTTGACACCTCTTGGTTTGCAGGTTTCTGCACAAAAGTTCAGGAGGGTGATGTGGTTCCTTTAGTCTTGAGGTCTGCTAGACGAGGCTTTCAGGCCCACTAAAAGCCCCGCATGGTCGCATCAGGTCTTCAAAGCACGCGACAGTCGCTTTGATTTTGTGCGGGGTTGGGGCCAACAGTTGCCTGCTGAAGTACAGTGAAGCTCTCATGCCATTTCTGGTTGATCCGCCTCCTGCCGCGCAGTGAACCTCTCAACCTCAACGTTGAAGGCGCGTGAACGACCCCGAGACAGTTGACCTCTGAACCCGAAAACCTGAAACCTGCGTAATTTATTTCGCAAACAAAGCCCATTCTCTGGAAGAATCCGGTGAGGCGTGGCGAGGTCGGCTGGCCAGAGGCTGCGCATGGACACCGTCATCCGGACTAAAGGTAGGAAGCAAAAAGACGACAGCAGCGGCAGCAGCAGCGGCAGTCTTTACTTTTCTAAAAGGCGTTGCACTTTCTAGAGCTGGTTGAAAGGGCGTAAAGATTTAGAGGCCTGCCAGCTGGAGGTAGTGGTTCTGGCCATCACCATTAGCAACAATCACACCTATGGCCTGTGGCTGCTGCTACTACCTCCTACTACTACTACTACTACTACTACTGCTACTACTGCTGCTATTGCTACTGCTGCCACCACTCCCGTCACTGTTGCTACTGCTACGGCTACCGCAACCGCTGCTGCGACCGCTTCCACTTATGCTACTC